TAGATGGCTGTGTATACCACAACCTTCCGCCCATCATAAGGATATCCTCCGAATCTGCAAATAGAGATCTGTAGGGTTATTTTTCAAATTTTTTGGTAGGGATATGGCAATTTTGGATGATTTTTAAGATAACAATAGCGGCATCATTAAGTTCGACTAATTTCAATGAGCCTGACTTTCTTTGATGTAAATGTAATCGTGAATTATTACAGAATCGACGGATATAACTCAATATGAAACCACCAAGGTGCATCATTAATTAAGTCAGTAGGATCGTTGCTACGAGAGGCGACATCAGCTGCATTGTAGTTTCAGCCAGGCCAAAACAATGATAGAAGGCCAAAACTGAGTAAGATAGAAGGTATACAGAAATTTAATCGCCAAAATGATCGTGTGTACGCACACAGTTCTAAAGAAGCCCAGGAAGTCATTAGAAGAGTGGAAAGAGATCATCAGCCTTCCACAGTGATGGTTTGGTGGGGAGTTTGCTTTGATGGCATCACAAAGCTCCATTTTTGTAAAAAATGAGTTAAAACAGCCCTAAAAACTATCAGGACGCTATTTTGGAACTTGTTGTCAAGCCTCTAAATGATACTCTGTTTGCTGGAAATCATTGAGTATTCCAGCAGGACTCCACTCCAGCTCACAAGGCCAGGACAACCCAGCAGTAGCCACAAAAGGGCATTCCAGAGTTCATCTCTGCCTCGGATTGGCCCTCAGGAAGCCCTGATCTCAACCCAATAGATTATTGGCTTTGGTCCGAACTAGGGAGGATAGCATGCCACAGGGCACACCCTAACTTGGAAAGACTCAAACAATCTTTGATCCGAGTTAATAACTGTCCAAGTCTGCGATTGATAACTGGCCACAGAGATTTTAAGTAATTTCTTTCTTTTTTTATTCTCCATAGATATATATTTTATTTTATAATAACGTTTTTTAAAAAAAAATTCTGTTGAAATCTGTATATGTTTCCTTGCAACAATATTTATGACAGTAGTAGGTATATGTTTAACAAAATGTATGGAATAACGATTGATTAATGTGCTGTTGAATTTTATATGTGCTTATGGATGTTTAGCAATGTGGAAATGTATTGTTAAGCGAAACAACCTGGATGAATCGACAAGGTCGTAAATTAAATAGGTTCATTACATATTAGTAATGCATATTGTCTTTAAGGTGGTCAAGGGTTAGGGATTAAGGTGTAATTACACACTTCATGCTAATACCATGCATTTAAACCTGCTTATCACCGGTTTTATCAATTATGTCAATGCTTTTTGCAGTGTGTAAATGACCTTTTTAAAGAATATTTAAAATCTCAATTTTCATATTAAATACATTTTCCTCTCTTAATTATGTTCCTTGATTTATTTCTTTATTAAAGGAATCATGGTATTCATATATAATAAATGGTAATATACATAATATATATAACAAACAATGGTTTTCTAATACACATAAAATAATTGATCCTATGGAAACATAATAATATATTTTTGTTATCAAACGAGAACATTATTGTTTTTTAAAATATAATCAGTTTTTCTAATTTTTAGATCCTGAATAATACATAGACTTCAGGCCCCACATGCAACAGATGTTTTTTTTTTTTTAAATTGAATGACAATTTTATTGCAAAAAGAAATAATATAGATCACCAAATTTTTTTTAAACAAATAAGAACTTCGTTGTTGCATTTCTCTTTTTTAAATTATTGCTACTTTTATTTTTCAAGTCTTCAAAATAAATATTAGCGTCGGGCCCAAAATACTGAAGGAGCACTAATTTTTTTTTTCTGAGGATCCCCAAAATATATATACCTCTGGTCAGGTTATGGAACTGCTCAATGATAGTATCACTGGTTCTCCTAATATAAATACTGACGAAAAACAATACACTTACTTATTGTTGGCTTATTGCAAATTTCCATGACGTGATATTTCGTAAAATTAACTCGGGAAGTTTGATTGTTTATAATGAGTTTTTCTTCTTTGAGAGATAAAGATATCGATAAAGATGATGGAAATACATAAAAGTTTAACCATATCAAATATATAATTAATGACTTTCTGCAATAAACCAACGATATATATTTTGAAGATCATGAAAGTTTATTTCCGAAGAAAATAAACTTAGGAAAATTCTGGTATAGTTGAGAATATTACTAAAAGAATATTACTATCGAGACAAAAATGGGGGGGAGAGAGTGATAAAACAATAAAATTTAAATGAGTGTTGGTCTTTTTTTTTTTTCTTGGTGTTTACAACTCGTGAGAAGGCATTTCGAAATAATCAAGAATTATTGACTATATCAAGTACTGTCAGTATTACTGAGGGATTATTATGAAGAAGGCTGTCAAGATTCATTAAAAAAAAATAAATAAAAATTGTTTTTCTGTCCCTCCTCCTATGAGAGACATTTAAGAGAGAGTCATTCCATAATTTCTTCCTCTCAACTATTACCTCAGATAATTTCTTAGTCAGATTCAATCAAGAAACGTATTTAAATCTATATTGAACTTGAAAAACTTCGTTTTGTAATTTTTTTTGTAATTATTTGTTTTTATGTTGGCATTACAATCATTGTTGATCTTTTACTGCCTTAACCAACCTTCTCCGTCTCTTCATATCTTGGACTATCTCTTTCCAGTTCTTTTCTTGCAGTTCTACTGCTTCTTTGTTGATTCGATTTATCCATCTGGTTTTTGGCCTTCCTCGTGGTGTTTTGCCTAATATTGACGGATTCATTGTTATTTTATTTTATATTACATATTTTAACCTCCTTGTCTTCATATCATGAGATATTGATTGACCAGTTTCTGTAGGCAGCTCTTTATTGGCCTCCATGCGTAAGTACTGTCCAGAATGCTCCAGTTATCGTGCAGATGATTTTCCTCACACACTTTTCAATAATTTTTTATAAGGTGCTTGTCATTGTCCAGGTCTCGCAGTCGTATATCAGAACTAGCTTTGTCATTGAATTTTTCACGATTAATTTGAGATTTTTTTGGGACTCAATATCTTCGAATGAGAGGATGGTTGTTCATTCATTGAGGTTATTGTGGTGCTGAGGTATTCTATTTTTTAGGAAATCATTTCTCGTTTAAGCAGATTCTGTTATTGGAATGTCATTCTTTTTTCATTTTATCTTCATTTACCTATAAGCACAATTTCTCTGCTTCTCTCATCAGAGTCCTCAAAATCGCATTAAGATTTTTCTTTTGAAATAAAAATTCCCAAAGTGAGTTTTTTAAAATTTGGGGTAATTATAGCGAAATCGTACAATAACATTTGGTAATATTTACAACTCATAATTGTAACATTTCGTTTTTTTTTTTATATTACGGTATTAGGTATATATTACGATAAATATATATTGTGAAGAAAGAAAAAAACTAAGTACCTGTTCGCGTCCCGGTGCCGGAGGAGTCTTTTAAATCCCCACACACCTCCTGGCCCGGGAAAACCACTTTAGTCTTAAAGGCGAGGAAGGGGAGGTCCCAAAAAAAAGTAGTGTTTAAGTGATTATTTAAGCCCTATTAGATGTAATTAGTAGTCTTTTTAGATGTAAATTAATCTTTTTTCATACATTTATCATTAAAGGGCATTGTTCTTCAATCTAGAAAAAACTGGAACCTTTAAATCAACAAGGAAGCTTATTATTTATATTTAAAGTCCAATCTGTCCATCACTGAGCCCTCTGTCCACAACTGGTGCGTTCACCCTACTATTAATGAGTACCTTCGGAGAAAAAATTCAAAATATCAATAATTAATATCAAAATGAACTTTCATGATATATTCTCTTGTGCTAAGATATCTAAGTTAACTGATCATGGCCTTCAGTGGAAATAATTGATATTCCAAGCTGAGTCATATTCAGTTTAATGGCACTAACAAAGGAATCCTTGCCGAGTGCCGTGGTGCATGACCCGCCCAGATAATCCAGGAACTGAAGAACTGAGCTTGTGAACCCTCGAGTTAGGAAGAATATCATCATAATAAAAAACAACTGAAGGAGCCAGTTCTAGGAGCTCTGTATTAATTTATTAATCATTAAATCTATTTCTGTTATAACATCAAGATGTTTTACAACATATAATACCTTTATTGGTGAAAAGTTATTAAATTAAAAAGGCGTGAGCAGAAGAGGTTACTGAAATTTTTTCTTTAAAAAACAGATAAACTTTTTTCATCAATGCTAAACGGATAATTAGAATTTCAAAACGTAGAAATTTATTAAAAAATGGTTTATGATTATCAAATCCACAATATACAGTGTGTTTCGTAATTGCACGGCCCTATTTTAGGTATGTGTCCACTAAAGCAAAATAAACAAAAAAGTCCATATTAACATATATCTCAAACTCATTTATTAAACAGATATCAAAGGTTAAAGATTTATTATTTATTTGCTTCATTAAGACTGTCTGTACAAAGTTTAACGTCTTTAATACTAAATAATAGGTTTTAATCATCTGCAAAACAAATGAAAGATAAGCAATGATAGTAGTTGCTCATCTGTTTGTCTAGTTCTGTGTGTTTTAGTGTGAGTGAATTCTGTGACACAGACCAATTTATGATTATCATGGGAGACACCATACATTTATTCACTTTTGCAGAACAAACAGACATGTTTTTAACTTATGTACATAGAAACGGTGATGCTGCTGTTCGAAGATATGGTGAAAATTTCCAAACCGAAGAATACCAAATTGTAAAACGTTTGAGGCCATTGAAAGATAATGGCATGCTAAAACCTATACGAGTAAACGCCGGTCGACAAAGAATTCGACGAACTGCAAACGTTGAAGAAGAAATACTCGACGCTGTTCAGTTATCTCCTACTACTAGTACCAGAAGATGGTCACGTCGTTTCGATGTTTCCTCTAATCGCGAACTTTACGCGAACAACAATTGTATCCATTTCACGTATCGAGTAGGCAAGATTTGTTCCCACAAGATTATAACAAGTACAGAAATTTCTCCCAGTGGTTAATTCGACAATGCACACGAGACTCTAACTTCCTGAACTGCACTTTGGTTCCTGGTGAATCTTACTTTACAAGAAACGGGATTCTTAATTTTCGAAATACCTATACTTGGGCTAAACGAAACCCTCATACGATTGTTGTTGGACATTATCAACATACCCTTTTTTTAAATGTCAGGTTTGGTCCTCTAAGCGACAACATCATCGGCTCCTTCACTTTGCCTCCTAGGCTGTCAGGTATACCTTACTTGCATTTATGCAAAATAATCTTCATGAACTCGTAGAAGATATTCCGCTAGGCATTAGGCAAAGACTGTAGTTTATGCATGACGGTGATCCAGCTCACTTTTCTAATAGTGTCACTGATTATTTAAATGCAACTTATGGACACCGATGGGTTGGTCGAAACGGTCAGGTTAAATGGCCACCACGATCTCTGGATTTAACGCCATTAGATTAATTTGTTTGGAGGCTGGATGAAGTATACGGTTTATTCTGCGGCAGTTGGAACGCAAGAAGAGCTAAGAAATCAGATCGTGGAAGCCGCAGTAACTATCAAACACCACCCTGATGCTATAAGAAGAGCCATGGATTCGTCGTGCTGAATGTTGTATTCAACAAAACTGAGGTCCCTTTAAACAGTTACTTTAAATGTTGTAATAATAATAAATAATAAATCTTTAAGCTTTTTGATATCTGTTTAATAAATGAGTTTGAGATATATGTTATTATCAACTTTTTTGTTTATTTTGTTTTAGTGAACACATACCTAAAACAGTGCCGTGCAATTACGAAACACCCTATATAATATCTCTCTATGATAATGGCACTTCAGATAATGTAGAAAGAAACGTTTTGATCAATTTAATAAATAAAAAAAATATCCAGGTATAGACTTCTATATTCTTAGTAAGCGAGATATTCACAAACCAAGGATCTAATGCACCAAACAAATAGGTCTTGAGCAAGTACGATTATCGATTATAGATAAGTTCAGGGATAGCTGCCTCTTATTGCTTGACTATAAAGCTATCCAATGAGATAAGCCAATGACTCATTAAGTTAATTGTTTTATTAAATTTGATTATTGAGTTGACTATCTTGATAATATTATATTATATATAATTATTTTTCGCTGATTTCGTTTATACGTCCAATTTTAACAGAAATACATGTTTTGAGGACCCTGAGTCGAAATAACCAAGTACCACAAAATGGTCTGTCTGTGTGAACAGCCTAGCTCAAAAGTCGTACAAAACTTAAATTGCGTATTTAAGATTTTATATGGTTCCGATGTGACAGCAACTTTTTCGTTGAAATCGGCTCTAACGATTTTGATTAAACTCGGTATATCAGTGTATTATTAAGTTGTTTTTAATATCAGCTAGGTTTTATCCGCCGTAATTCCATTTTATTATACTTCGCAATGGAAAATAACAGTTTAATAATCAATTCATAATCAACTGTTGATATAACAAATTCATTTTTTTTATTTTAATGGTATCAATGATTTGTTGACTGTAAGCTTTTTAAGCTTTATCTCGGTTAAAAATGCAATTCAAAAAATTTATAACTGTCCAACATTGCCAGAAAATAATTTATATTCAAGCGGTAAGTGAAAGTTGTGTATATCGCGCGCCAGATTTTTCATATTTTTTTTCGGTTAGCGAAATTTCAATTGCGGGAACTAATATAGATTTTCCAAGAAATTGCAGTGGAATGAAACTTGATTGATGGTGTTCGCCTTGGATTTACTAAATTAATGGTTCCACAGACTGAACAAACATCTCATTTAAAATACACCTATTGTAAAATGTATTCGTTATATTTTTCAAAAAGAAACCAAACTTAAATTTTCATTTGTATTGATGAATACCCTATTATCAAACTAAGGTGGTATGACTAAAAAAGTATAGTTGACAAAATACAGTATATAGTTGACTATCATAGCTTAAGGTATACCAGCTTATAATTATTATAATTATCTGCACTGTATAATGAATCACACCATTTTAAAATACAATTTTTTTATTATCTTCTCCCTTAAATGGATTTCACATTTTTTGTCCAAGTAAAATTAGTAGTGGTTACATTTTATTTATTTATTTTTTTTTATCATTGTTTATACACCCTTTATATTACCTATTTACTGGATGATTTTTTATAATAAACGAAAAAAATCAATGAAAACCTTTTCGTCATTGTTATTCGAAAAAATATCCTTGAAGGTGTTTCTGCCTTTATTTTCCAGGTAATTAATTAATGTAGTGATGTAATTCGCTACAGGAGTTTTTTCCACGGTTTTACACGGCTGAAGTTTCTCAACTGTCTTTTGTCTGAGGCGGCGACATGGTAGGCCGACCATGGCTTTCTCACCTCTACGATGCATCCCTCTTGTATTTGTATCAGCTGATGAAATGCTTATGTTACAGACGAATTCATGATCATAACATTTTTGCTTCCTCACTACGAGAGGTAGGGAAGCATTGTGTTCGTGCGAAAGGTTAAAAAATTTTGTGCTCAAAATCGGAAATTTGCACACGCGTTTTACGTTTCAGACATCAAGGATTAAATTTGGTTCGGTGTCTGTCTGTAGTCAAATCGATGTGACGGGCATATCACAATATGGTCTCATATCAATTTTATCAAATTCCATCCAACACTTTTGCTTGCGCACGCCCAAACGTATGTTTTTAGATATGCCAATATTTCAGAAAGGGCTCGTTCGATCTGGCTCAAAGTTGGATAAAAGGTAGACATTGGTGAAAAAATAATGCAGTGTCAATTTTATTGAATTGAATTTTATTACCATAGACTGTAGCGGATAAACGAATGTAACGATTTCAATTAAACTTCGCTAAAGTCATTTCCTCGACGCCCTTTTAATTTACCTCTGTAACATACTTCAACGAAAAGAAGCTGAAAAAAAAGTTCCGAGGTATGGTAAAATTAAATTCCGAATAACTCAAAAAGTATACACTTTTTTGTTGATATTGTATATGATTTTTTAAAGGTTTGCGGAATTTCCTAAAAAAACAAAAAAAAATCGATAAAATCGAACAATTATTAGCTATGGTCAAAGATATAGTCTGTAGTTTTTTTTTTTTTTTTTAGTATATATATATATATATATATATATATATCAGTCTGGCCAGAGACGGCAGTGAGTAAACATCTACGGAGCGCTTTCTTTCAATTTGATATATTGAGCCCAATTTTAGTTTTTTCTTTGTTGTTTCTTTTCTTAACAGTGTCATACTATCGAACGTAATCTTTAAAACTTCTTATATTTACGTATTTTCACGCTACTCAACGTAAAGAAAATATAGTGAGAGTGCTACGAGCCTTGTGAGTGTTAAGCTAATAATCCTATTAGTATTAGCAGTTGTTTGCTTGGCGGATCACAACATCAACTTAACTTGACATTAACTGTAAGTTATTTTTTATTATTAAAAATGGTCCAGTGCACGATTTGTAATAACGCTATTGCCCGTGAAGATAAATACAATTTATGTTGTACCAAGTGCAAAGTTATTTATCACGGCAAGTGTTTTAATCTCACAGACAAAGAGATAGAAGCTCAGAGAAGCACAAAAAAAAACATGGATGTGCCTAAATTGCGATCAAACTAAGAAACTAAATTTAAACAATGAACCGCCTGTATCAGAAATATTAGCAGCAGTTAATAGACTGGATAGTCATGTTAGTGAGGAAATAAGGGATATGAAGACAGCCCTCGATAAATATGGAGACCTCAGCTTTGAACTGAATGAGAGGTTATCTAAATTAGAAAAACATCTCGAGGGCCAAGCCAAACATTTTGAGGAGATCATTTTGGAAAATAAAGCCCTCAAAGCTCGAGTGGGCGATTTAGAGATCCGCCTGAACAAAACAGAACAGGGTCAATTATCTAGATCGCTGGAGATCCGTGGGATCCCAGTGCGAGCAGGCGAGACGCCCGCGGCTCTGGTGACCAGTATAGCCGCGGGGCTGGGCATCAAGCTCGGAGTGGAGGATTTGGATGTCGTGCAGCGCCGCAGAAGCAAGAAGGATGACCCGCGACCGCCGCCGGTAATAGCACATTTCGTCAGGCAGTCAGTGAGGGACGACCTGATAGCGAAAAGGAAAGTGAAGAGGGATTTCTCGACGCGTGATATCGGGTGGCAGGAAAACGACTGCCACCGAATTTATCTCGGCGAGGAGATGACCCCAACAAACAGGCACCTCTACTGGCTAGCCCGGCAGAAGAGAGCTGCCGGGAAGATAAGATACGTATGGTTCTCTGCCGGCATTGTGCGTTGCCGAAAAGAAGACGGCCATCAAGTAATCTTGATTAATCAGGCATCGGATCTAGAAGTTTTCGCCTGACTGCACAGGTTTCATCTCTTCTTCTCGTTCTTCAAAGTATTTTTTGTCTTCATTGGTGCCCAAATAACATTGAAGATTTTGGTTAAAATTTCTCACAGCTCCAGTTTACTAATTTGTTTATTTTCTTACTCTTATTTCTCACTTATTTTTTCATTATTCACTTTTATTTTGCTTATCAGTACTTTTCATAATTTTTTTTCAGAATATGATATATGCCTCATTTCCTCTATGCTAATTTCTGACTGTTTCCCATCAAATCCTCCCCATGTCTAGCATCCTAACTACCTGCCACGTTAACTCGCAATCCCTTCTCGCCCATTATGATGAATTCCTGCAGTACTTTTCTCAAAACTTTTTTCACATCATCGCAATCTCAGAAACCTGGCTCAAACCCTATATTCCGTCCTCATCTGTCTCCTTACCTAATTACACCCTCATCCGCCACGACCGGGTCAGCCGGACTGGTGGTGGAGTGGCCATATTTGTCCATGATAGCCTGAAGTCCCGAATCCTTGATTACTCCCCACCCTCCGAACATCCACAAGTGGAGTACCTTCTAGTAGAAATTACCTGTAATAATTCACCTCTCCTTTACATAGTGATCTACCGTCCTCCCCTTGTTCCATTTGATCCGTCCTTAGAATCAACCCTACTCAACTTTGTTCCCCTCTATCCTAGAATAATCATCGCCGGTGACCTCAATACCAATTTCCTTTCTAATTCCAAAGACAAAACCTATCTAGAAAACCTATTTTTTTCCCTCCATCTCTTTATTGTTCCTTTTTATCCTACTCACCACACCCACAAGGCCGACACTTGGTTAGACTTCTTCATTATAGACTCCGAAATAAATCTCCTCTCCTCTTCTCAACTGCCAGTATCCTTCTTATCGTCTCACGACATGAT